AGCCGGATCGATCCGTGAGGGCCCTTCGGTGGCAACTCCTGGGACCATCCCGTACCATCTTGCTGGCCCTTGCGAATAAAATGCGAATCGACGCTCATCGACGCTGATGCTAAATCGGCGCTTTCTGATCGATTACCAGACGTACTCTGCAGACAGAACTGCATGCAAGGCTCCCATGATTTGCTACCGAAGGGCCCCGGGGCTCGAAAAGCACAGCACGGACGCGCGGTGTGGAAAAAGAGCAACGCCCGGATCTCCAGGCAGGATGGGGCAGAGGGGAGGACGGCGGGCATGCGGCCCTCGCCCTCGCAGGCGCTGCCGCACAGCACGCCGATGCGATTCTCTGAGGCTCCGCGGGCTCCGCGCGCGATTAGATCCTCACGTTTAGGGCAACTTCCTTGTTTTTTGTTCTTGTACACGTCATTCGCCCGCAACTTTGTTGTTTGACCCAACCTCGGTGGAATAGATCCGCTCCCAGACTGAGCCTCGAACAATGCACTTCTGCAACATGTCGCTTCCGAGGCACAAGACAACCTGCACTATTTTCTTTGGTCGGGGCGTGCCCATGGTGCCGCAGGTGCTGGAGCGGCGAGGAGGGGCAGGAAGCGGAGCAGGACGAGGGTCAATGAGGAATGAGGACCAGAGTAAATCCAGGAATAATCAACGATGCTGCAGTACATCCTCCCATCTCAAGACCCCTCCGCAGAAATCCCTACAAGACTCACTCTTCACCATCGCAAGCGACATCGTGATGACGATAATTGCATTCGCATGCACTTCAAGCGAGAACCCCGTTTTGAGAAGGACGTGTCTTGCATCCTTCGAGCAAGTGGAAAAATCGAAATCCCAAACTCAGAAAGAAATTAGCGAAATGTCCAACGAGAGCCCACTTATGAAAAGATACCGCATCCCATCCGTGCAACCAATGCACAAACGCACACTTCGATTACCAAGTTTGTCGGATTCGATTGCGGAAACTCAAGCTTGAAAACAAACCGCCCTACATCAGCGCAGTGGTGGCATATGTTCAACATTCTGGTCATGAAATGTATGGAAGCCTCATGCGAACACCACAGTTGGAAAAGGGAGCCAACCTCAATCTTCTTAGCTGCTGCATTAGTTAAGAACGAATGTGCGCGGCACCAAAGCAAAATAACGTTTTGTCAAATAACCACCTGCCGCACCTGTAACTGTTACATGCCGTGCAAGCGAATGCGTGCGTCGCCAAGGCGTGGCCCCCAACCTGTGTTTCCTCATGTGCGCAGCGCTTGAACGAGAGCCACATTCTGACCCCGCCCCTGCATCCTTGCAACAGCTTCAAACTTCTAAAACGAAATGCGCGGCGCTAGGGCAAGAACTCCAGCTTGAACACAGCCGCCCTCCACCCCTGTAGATTATGCAAGCTCTTAAGAAGCATGCGCGTAGCGCTAAGGCGAGAGTCCCATGCTGAAAAAGAGCCGCCCTCAACCCTTGCAGCTACTGCAAACGTAGGAGAAAGAACGAATGTGCGCGGTACCAGAGCGAGAAGAACGAACTTTGGACAAAAAGAGCCGCCCACCATGACTGTAACTGGTACGTGCGATGAACACCATTGCGCGCGGCATCAACACGACACCCCCGATTTGAAACGGAACAGGCCTCCATCCGTGTAGCCTGTGCATCCTTTTTGACAACTATGCGCGGCGATCAGGCGAGAGCACCATTTTGACCTCCTCCCACCCATGCATCCTAGTAGCCACTGCAAGCTTCAAACGACGATGTGCGGCGCTAAGGCGAGCGCAGCAGCTTGAACAGTCATCCCCCACCCTTGCAATTTCTGCAAGCTCTAAAGGCACATATGCGTGGCGCAAAGGAGGGGGCCATGTCTTGAGAAGGAACCGCCCTCCATCCTTGCAGCTGTTGCGAGCAAATTTCCAGGGCGAATGTGCGCGGCGCCACGGCGAGAGTCCCATGTTGACAAGAGACCGCCCTGAAGCCTTGCCATCAACTGTCGCTGCAAACTGTCACACCGAACGTGGGCGGTGCCCCGGCGAGAGACCCATGTTCACAAAACGCCGCCCTCCGTCCGTGCAGTCCCGCTTGCCTTCTGGGCGTGAGCGGTTTGAAGCGTCTCTTCCCCTTCGGGACGGGGTGCACGCCTTCCCTGTTCCCCCTCCCCTGGACTTGGACGGGGCGTGTCGCGACCGATTGGAGCGTCCAAGCAGGCATCGGCGAGAAGGCACACATCAGTGTTGTTACTTGGGTGCTTAGCTCATGTTGGCCTCCTACGGGGGGGGTCAGAGGGCCCCAAGAGGCGCCCAGGAGGCCCCACGAGGCCTGTAAGAGATCCTCTAGAGGCTCCCGAGAGACTCCTAAAATGCTCCCCCAAGGCACCCGAGACGCTCTAAGAGGCCCCCAGGACCGCCAAGAAGGCCCCAAGAGGCTTCAAGAGGACCCACGGAAACTTTCAAGAGACATTCGAAGAGACTGCGAGGGGCATCAAATAGGCTTCTGGCCATTCTGCTCGCACTCCTCCTCCTCTTCCTCCGCCTGTTCCTTATTTCCCCCCTCCCGCTCCACCTTCCCCTCCTCCTCCGATTCCTCCTCTTGGGGCACGACGGCTTCCCCAACCCGCTGTTCCATTGCATTCTTCTCCACATCCCTGATCAAGGCAACTCGCCTGGGCATCTTTGCTGGATTGGCTGTTGGGACTCCGCGAAGCGTCCATAATTAGTTGCTGAAGACTTTTAAGACGTTCGCGCAACACTAAAACGATAACCCCATCTTGAAAAAGACCCCAGGTCCACCCGTGCATATGTGGAAACTCTCACGCTTCGACGATGTTTTTGATGCGTAGATATTTGACGCGAAACGCCCGGCCCGCCCTACCCGCAAGTCTGGATGTGCGACAGCGAGGAGTTCAGGGAGAAGGTATGGAAAAGGAGCAGGCTGGCAATGCGGATGGAGAATGGAAGGCGCGGTGACTGATCGATTGACGATGATGAAGCCGCGCGCAAGAGCTCGCGGGCGATCAAGTAAAGTTCCGAAAGCAGCTCCAGCGACCCAAGTCAGGCTCGGTCGTGCATGACCCCTAGGCTTGCCGAAGGCAAGGAGGCCCCGCCCAGCATCTACGTACTCCGTATCGATCGTGCGCGTCCCACCTGCAAGTGCTAGAACGGGCCCTGGCGCTCGCCTTTCCCCTTGACCCTCGCGTTGTGCGGTCTACGCGACCATTGCCCCGACTTGTATTGGGCCATCGTGGCGGCGATACTGCAATGTTTGGCGTTACTCGGTATGGCCCGGTAGCGACGGCGAGGGTCAAAAGCTTGTGTCCTCCGACTTCCAGGCACAAACGTCTGACATCCCGCCGTCTCCCCCCACCCACCCTACGTCCTCCATCTCCCTCCTCCCTCCTGCTCCTCCACCTCCTTCTCCTCCTCCTCCAGCTCCTCCTGCTCCTATTCCTGCTCATCCCGCATACTTCCGCTCCCTCTTCTTCTTCCTCCTCCTCCTTCTCCTCTTCCTCCTTCAACTCCCCCTTTCCGACAGAAGACACCACGAATGTACTACGACGCGGACCCAGGACTCTCGACCCGAAACCTGGAACCGTGGCGGGCAATGTTGTTTGTTGCCCTGGGGTCCAGAAGCTGCTCCAGAGACCGGGAAAGTTAAAAAGAAGGGGCTGACATGATTATTGCAAAATGCCAAGGCGGTCTGGGTTCAGATTTTTGGCAGGCTGAGTTGGCACACGGAAAGAGGCCCGAGGTAGTCTTAGGTCGGGCGTGTCCTCCTACAGGGAGATTTTGGATGACAAATTAAAACAAATATCCAACAACTACTCCACAATAGTCAAAAAATACTCAAATAATCGTCCCAGACTATTTTTTGAGAATCTCCCTCCTGTGGAGGGACACGCCCGACTTACAGCTGGCATATGCAAAGAAGCCTCAACACACTCAAGCGCCAAGAGGTCTGAGCCGCCCCGGCCAGCTCGGGGGGTGTCGAGGCCGGCCATGTCTGCCTCGGGAGGCCCTCGGCGCGCCACACCGGTCCCTGCTCCCCGCTGTCCGGTCTCTGCTGATTTTCTCGCGCCGGGCGTTTTCGCCCAGCTTCGGGCCCCTGGGGCCCTGACGGCCGATCCAGCTTTAGGTCGGGCATGTGCCCCTACAGGCGGATGTTGGACGAAAGCTCAGAAATACGTGAAACATATCCAAACAATAACTCACAAAAAATAAGAACATCGTCCCCTGATTATTTTTCCCCAATCAGAGCTTGCCTCTGTAGGGGTCCTAGCGGATTCATATGGTTAGGTTAGGTTTGTCGCCGATTTTCGCGGCACGCCTGGGTGCCCGGGTGCCCGGGGGTGCCCGGGGATGCCGGGGTGCCCGGGCGCCTGGGCGTGCCCGGCGGTGCCCAAGGGTGTCCCGAATTGCCCCGGGGTGCCGGGGTGCCCCGGGGTGCCCCGGGTGCTCTATCGCCCTATAGCTATATCCCTGACCTGTAGACCTATAGCCCTATATCCCTATAGCCCTATAGCCCTAATAGCTCTATAGCCCTATAGCCCTATAGGCCTTATGCCCTATAGCCCAATAGCCCGATAGCCCTATAACCCTATAGCCCTTATACGCCTATAGCCCTATTAGCCTTATTGCCTTATAGCCCTATGTTCCTATAGCCATAGCCCTATAGTCCTATAGCCCTAGCCCCATGGTCCTATAACCGTACAGCCCCATAGCCCTCCAGCCCTAAAAATATTATGTTTGGTTTTTTTCTCCGGTATCATTTACTATTGTTGAATAATCCTCCTGTAGAGGGACATGCCCGACTGAAATCCAGCTCGAAGAATGCCGCACACAAACGTGTGGTCAGGGGCTCCAGCCGAGCTTCCTCGCGAACCTGCAGCATTCCCAGGAGCGTCAAATCGAACGGCTCCCGCTGCCTGCCTGCCTCCCACATCCCCCCTCCGCTTGCCGCCGAGCTCCGCGAAGAGCGCGGGGGCCGGGAGCTCGGGCGAGGCCAGCTCACGCGGAGCCGATGGCCTTGATGGGCACCGTGCTCAGCGGGTTGGTGCTCCCCTGGGTCCAATTCTTCCTCCTCGCCCTCGCCCTCCTCCCCCTCCACCTATTCCTCCTCGCCCTCCCAGCCCTTCCCGTCCACCTCTCCTCGTCCTTCTCCTCGTCCACGCCCTCCTCCGTGTCATCCTGCCTCCCTCGTTCGCGTTCTCTCCTCCTCCTCCTCCTCCTCCTCCTCCTCCTCCTCCCTCCTCCTCCTCCTCCCCTCCTCCTCCTCCTCCTCCTACTGCTCCTCCTGTTCGCCTTCGTCCTACTCGTCGTCCACCGCCTCTCCCTCCTGCTCCTCCTCCTCCTCCACCTCCTCCTGCTCCTTCTCCTCCTCCTCCTCCTCCTCCTCCACCTCGTGGCAGCCTGGTCCACCAACTGCCGGGGCACCTTCTGGAACTTCGTGGACTCCGGGTTGAACTCTGGCGTCTCGACGAACTGAAGGAACAGGTTGGCGAGGCGCCTCCGAAGGCCTGTGAACGACTTCTCGGGCCGACCGCGGTTTAGCATGTCCGCCTCGCGATCAATGAGATCCACGATTTCGCGAGTGAGATTGCAGTCGAACTCCTTGACGGTCCACTTTACGTGCAGAAGCACGTCGAGGCGCTCGTCCACAGTCAACAGCGGCAGGCGCAGGCCGCTGTAGAGGTCCATGAGCTCCTTGGCCCTTGTGGTGAACGGCGTGTGCACTGTGGTGGTCTCTCCATCAGACTGGGCCCAGACTTTCGGCTGTGACATTGACTCCAGCTTCTTCTTTATCTTCGCGTCGCGGTTCGTCGCGTGCGCCGTGATCTTCAGCTTGTCGATCGTCTGCAGCAGCTTGGTCTCCTTCTGCAGCAGCTCCCGCTGCGCCTCCCGCTGGCTGGCCTCGTCGGTGGCGGAGGCCTGGATGCGCCGCGACTCGTTCGAGCGCCACCCCTCGAGCTCGCGGTAGAGGATGCTGAAGTCCTCGAACGTCCGCGGGTGCATTCGCCTCTCCACCTCGCGCTTGTGCCTCAGGCTGGCCTCCAGCTGCCGCCGCTCCGCCTCCTTCTCCTCCAGCTCCAGCTGGTCGCGCCTCTGCTTGCGCAGCTGCCGCGCCCGCGCCCGCGCAAACATGCCGCGGGCGTGGCACTGGATGACGACGCACATCTCCATGACAAGGGCGTGCTTGTCCGCGCTGCTGAAGTACGGCCTGCGGGGCTCCAGCTCGCGGTCGCCCTCAGTGTCCACGAACAGCCCCGCCTTAGGCATCTGCGTCCCGTTGTCGCGCTTGCACTGCGTGGACCGCGTTCTATACTCATAGGTCTGCGCCTCACGGTGGAAGCGGATGGTGGCCTTCTCCTTCGCCTGCGTCGGCGCCGTCTGGGTCACCGCATGGTGGAACTGGACGCCCGACTGCTTGTTCCGGAACCCGCCGAGGTAGGGCTTCTCCATGACCGGGCGCTGCACGTGGACGTTGACCACCCTCTCCACGCCCAAGTGGTCGAGCACGTGCAGCTCCAGCACGTCCGGCATGACATACTCCTCCGCCGGCTGCTCCTGGTAGTAGTTGATCCTCAGCTCGACTCCCACGCGATCGCCGGGCTTCATGCCAAACTCGTGCAGGGCCTTGGCGTCCGGCAGCACGTCGCGGCACTCCACCGCGCCAGAGAGGTTCATCAGCAACAGGGAACCCTCTGGGATGCTCAGCTCGTTCTCCTCCCCGTGCCCATCATCCCTCTCCCCCTCCTCACCCCAAACCTGTGACGACTCAAAACAATCGCGCCCAAATCGAGGAACCGTTTCGGAAGCCTGGGACCGTCAATAAACGGCTCGGGATGAAACGCAAGTCCAAAGGAAAGGCGCCAGAGCTCCAGGTGCTGGCGACTCGAAAGACAGTCGTCGGAGGTCTGGGTCCTTCTCTCCTCCCACCTCTTCCGGTGTACTCTTAGGTCTGGCATGTCCCCCTACAGGCGGAATTTTGGCAAAAAATCAAACATACGCAAACATATTTCCAAATTGTCAAAGATAGTTGTTTATACAAAAAGAACGTCCCCAGACTGTTTCTCCTCCACTTCTCCCCACCTCCTTCCTCTCAAGTATCCCCTCCCGTACTCCAGGTTGGCTCTGATCTGCGCCACTGTTTGCGCCACGTCCAGCTGCTTGGTCTGCCCGTAGCCCTCCGGCAGGATGACAAAGTCCACCGACACCTCGCCGCTGGCCGGGGCCGCGCCTCCAGCGGCTGCCTTCGCCGGGCGAAAACAACCCGGGGGAGAAAAAGAACACCGAACACGGATGATGGTGATGGGACTGTTTTCCACCACCACCACCACCACCACCACCGTAAGTTGGAGTGGGAGGGGGTCCTCGTCCTCCTCCCGCACCTCCTCCTCCTCCTCCTCCTCCTCTTCCTCGTCCTCCTCCTTCTCCTGCCTCCGTCCAACTTATAGTGGTGGTAGAAAACAGGCCCAGCAGATGGGGGATGCCATGCCACACAGCGGCTACCACGCACCAGTCGCAATGATCGCGCCACGTCATCAAGAAGCGCCGCCGCCATGCCGTCGGCTGGCGATGCACAGAGCCGTCCCGGGTCGTGCTAGATATTCCGCTGTGCTGGGGGCCCAGACGATCTCACGACAAGCCTTCTGTCCGCGCCGCCCATGGTCTGGGCTCTTTCAGCGCCGCCCTCAGCGGGTTTCCTGTAGACGCAGACCCGGGTCGACGTCAGAAAGCGGCACCTTCCTGCCACTTCCGCGCGCGCTGCCACAGCATCCGTTACTGACCCTGCTTAGCACAGCGCCCTGCGGTGGAAACGACCCAGGACCAGACCCCGCGGGCGCACGCCCGCAAACATTGTGGCTGCGACACCCTCTCGAGAAAAGGTAAAAAAAGCTCAATTCGCCAATCGACACGGATGGAAGGTTCTGCACAACGCTCGTCTGGTTCTTTCTTTGCCCCAGCGGCGCCTCGGGCTGCTCGGGCTGGAGGGCCGCGGTTTCACCGCCCCCCTCCCTGGCTTCGCCTTCAGCAGCTGGCGCCGCCTCGCCTGCGCCCCCCCCGCCGCCGCCAGGCGCCTCGTCGGCGGGCGCTTCGGCAGCCGCTGGCGGGGAGGCCTCGGCGGCCGCCTCGGCCACGTCGGGCCCCGCGGCCCCATCGAGCCCCTCGCCGGCAGGCCCGGCGGAGGCGCCCTCGGCGCCGCCCTCGGCGCCGCCTTCGGCGGCACCCTCGGGGGCCGCCTCCGCTGCAGCGTCGCCCTCCGCGCCGCCTTCGGCGGCAGCCTCGGGGGCCGCCTCTGCCGCGGCGTCGCCCGCCGCGCCGCCTTCGGCGGCACCCTCGGGGACCACCTCCGCCGCAGCGTCAGCCGCTGGCTCCAGCGACGCTTCGGCGGGGCTGGCCGCGCCCTCCTCCGCCTCGGCGAGAAGGACGCCCCCCTCGTCGTCGGCCATCGCGCGCCGCGGGGGGTTCAGAGCCCCGCGGGCCCGGTCCGTGCGCGGTCAGCTCCTGGGCCAGAAAGGGCGCGCGGACCTTCCTCACAGAGATCCGACGCTCCGAGACAACGGAGCGGCTGGCTTTTGGCTATTTTCGGCATCTGGGGGCCCTCAGCGGGCCCCTGGACCGTCAAAACAAAACTCAGGATGAAAAACGGGCCCCAAGGAAGTGATCCAGACCTCCGTGGGTCCACGCATCGAAAATTGAGTGTCACATGTCTGGGTTCCTCTCTGGCTTGCAGGTTGCCCAAGCTCGCTGAGCTTCTTGCCCACGCACTGCTGCGAACGTCTCGTGACCCTGCCAGTTACAGTATGGCCGACATCGGGAACCCTGGCAGGGTCTGGGTTGACACCCCCCTTCTCCCTCCTCATCTCCTAATCCTCCCGCCTTGTACTTTCCTATCTCCCCTTCTCCCTCTGCCACCCTCCTCCTCATACGCAAACAAATCACTCCTTGGTGTCCACTGGCTGAGGCACACTTCCCCTCCAAGAAGATCGCCAAACCGATAGTGATATTCAAAGTCGAGGGTGTAAGCTAAGCAATGCAGCATTAAGAACAGTAAGCCTGCAAAAAACTTCGACCTGGTTGACAGACGAGGGAAATGACCTAGATAAGGATTGATCGCGACTCGGACACAACTTCTACATGTACTACACGTACCTAGCAGGCAAAGCTTCGGGTGACACGCACTTTGGGAAATTACGGTTGCGAGTTTCGGTGTAGGTGGGCTTCGCGTCGCGATCTCTCTCGGTACCTATCTGTGCATAAACATATACTGAACAAATGTATGGCACCCCGAAGTTGCGGATAAGAGTGAGGGTGCGGGCGCGGTGGATCGCGGGCGGGTCGCGAGCGGATCGTGAGTAGGTCGCGGGGTGGGTCGCGGGTGGGTTACGGGTGGGTCGCGTATGGGTCGCGTAGGTCGCGGGTTGGATCTCGGGCTGGATCGCGGGCCAGGTCGCGAGTGGGACGACGACAACAACAATCACTTTAAGACTGTTCGCTCATACCTGCTCGCGTGCCATTCGATACATCTATCACACTCCCTCGATACCCGCCCTCTTGGTCTTCAATCAAGCCCCCTCAGGGATATACCTTCTTTACCTGCCACGTGAAATGGGTGCAGTCTCTAAAATTAGCCTGACGAAAGACCCAACCATACGTAGTTGTGAATACCGCAAGTGTGGATATATTCTTCGGTGGCGCCCCTGGGCCACGAAACGAGTGAGGGGTGTGCCAAAATGGGGGGTGGAACCGCATGCGGGCGCAGCCACTGGGGCCTTCGGTGGAGCTCCCTATGGGGCCACGAAACGTGTGAGGGGTGTGCCAGAATGGGGGGTGGAACCGCATGCGGGCGCAGCCACTGGGGCCTTCGGTGGAGCTCCCTATGGGGCCACGAAACGTGTGAGGGGTGTGCCAGAATGGGGGGTGGAACCGCATGCGGGCGCAGCCACTGGGGCCTTCGGTGGAGCTCCCTATGGGGCACGAAACGTGTGAGGGGTGTGCCAGAATGGTGGGTGGAACCGCATGCGGGCGCAGCCACTGGGGCCTTCGGTGGAGCTCCCTATGGGGCCACGAAACGTGTGAGGGGTGTGCCAGAATGGGGGGTGGAACCGCATGCGGGCGCAGCCACTGGGGCCTTCGGGGAGCTCCCTATAATGGTGGAGGGTGGAACCGCATGCGGGCGCAGCCACTGGGGCCTTCGGTGGAGCTCCCTATGGGGCCACGAAACGTGTGAGGGGTGTGCCAGAATGGGGGGTGGAACCGCATGCGGGCGCAGCCACTGGGGCCTTCGGTGGAGCTCCCTATGGGGCCACGAAGCGTGTGAGGGGTGTGCCAGAATGGGGGGTGGAACCGCATGCGGGCGCAGCCACTGGGGCCTTCGGTGGAGCTCCCTATGGGGCCACGAAACGTGTGAGGGGTGTGCCAGAATGGTGGGTGGAACCGCATGCGGGCGCAGCCACTGGGGCCTTCGGTGGAGCTCCCTATGGGGCCACGAACGTGTGAGGGGTGTGCCAGAATGGGGGGTGGAACCGCATGCAAGCGCAGCCACTGGGGCCTTCGGTGGAGCTCCCTATGGGCCACCCACGAAGCGTGTGAGGGGTGTGCCAGAATGGGGGTGGAACCGCATGCGGGCGCAGCCACTGGGGCCTTCGGTGGAGCTCCCTATGGGGCCACGAAACGTGTGAGGGGTGTGCCAGAATGGGGGGTGGAACCGCATGCGGGCGCAGCCACTGGGGCCTTCGGTGGAGCTCCCTATGGGGCCACGAAACGTGTGAGGGGTGTGCCAGAATGGGGGGTGGAACCGCATGCGGGCGCAGCCACTGGGGCCTTCGGTGGAGCTCCCTATGGGGCCACGAAACGTGTGAGGGGTGTGCCAGAATGGGGGGTGGAACCGCATGCGGGCGCAGCCACTGGGGCCTTCGGTGGAGCTCCCTATGGGGCCACGAAACGTGTGAGGGGTGTGCCAGAATGGGGGGTGGAACCGCATGCGGGCGCAGCCACTGGGGCCTTCGGTGGAGCTCCCTATGGGGCCACGAAACGTGTGAGGGGTGTGCCAGAATGGGGGGTGGAACCGCATGCGGGCGCAGCCACTGGGGCCTTCGGTGGAGCTCCCTATGGGGCCACGAAACTTGTGAGGTTGTGCCAGAATGGGGGGTGGAACCGCATGCGGGCGCAGCCACTGGGGCCTTCGGTGGAGCTCCCTATGGGGCCACGAAACGGTGTGAGGGGTGTGCCAGAAATGGGGGGGTGGAACCGCATGCGAGCGCAGCCACTGGGGCGCTCGGTGGAGCTCCCTATGGGGCCACGAAACGTGTGAGGGGTGTGCCAGAATGGGGGGTGGAACCGCATGCGGGCGCAGCCACTGGGGCCTTCGGTGGAGCTCCCTATGGGGCCACGAAACGTGTGAGGGGTGTGCCAGAATGGGGGGTGGAACCGCATGCGGGCGCAGCCACTGGGGCCTTCGGTGGAGCTCCCTATGGGGCCACGAAACGTGTGAGGGGTGTGCCAGAATGGTGGGTGGAACCGCATGCGGGCGCAGCCACTGGGGCCTTCGGTGGAGCTCCCTATGGGGCCACGAAACGTGTGAGGGGTGTGCCAGAATGGGGGGTGGAACCGCATGCGGGCGCAGCCACTGGGGCCTTCGGTGGAGCTCCCTATGGGGCCACGAAAACGTGTGAGGGGTGTGCCAGAATGGGGGGTGGAACCGCATGCGGGCGCAGCCACTGGGGCCTTCGGTGGAGCTCCCTATGGGGCCACGAAACGTGTGAGGGGTGTGCCAGAATGGGGGGTGGAACCGCATGCGGGCGCAGCCACTGGGGCCTTCGGTGGAGCTCCCTATGGGGCCACGAAACGTGTGAGGGGTGTGCCAGACTGGGGGGTGGAACCGCATGCGGCGCAGCCACTGGGGCCTTCGGTGGAGCTCCTATGGGGCCACGAAACGTGTGAGGGATGTGCCAGAATGGGGGGTGGAACCGCAATTGGGGGTGGAACCGCATGCGGGCGCAGCCACTGGGGCCTTCGGTGGAGCTCCCTATGGGGCCACGAAACGTGTGAGGGTGTGCCAGAATGGGGGTGGAACCGCATGCGGGCGCAGCCACTGGGGCCTTCGGTGGAGCTCCCTATGGGGCCACGAAACGTGTGAGGGGTGTGCCAAGAATGGGGGGTGGAACCGCATGCGGGCGCAGCCACTGGGGCCTTCGGTGGAGCTCCCTATGGGGCCACGAAACGTGTGAGGGGTGTGCCAGAATGGGGGGTGGAACCGCATGCGGGCGCAGCCACTGGGGCCTTCGGTGGAGCTCCCTATGGGGCCACGAAACGTGTGAGGGGTGTGCCAGAATGGGTGTGGGAGGGGGAGGAGGGGGGAGGAGGAAGGAAGGAGGAACGCGGGGACCGTCTCTTCAAAACGAGGACCCAACAACACAGGTTGGTTGGGAACAATGGAAGGGAGGACTGATGGAAGGGGGAAGGAGAAGGATGGAGCAGGAGGGGGTCTGGGAGCAGGAGGGGGTCTGGGAACAGGAAACACGTGGCAGAGACAGGCGGGCTGATCGGGCGGGTAAACCCTAACCAGCGGGTCGGGAAGGCGGGGAGTCGCGCTATCGCCCGAGGCATCCTCGCGATTCACGCAAGACTCACGCTTCAGCAACCCGCCTTCTCGACGCGGCCGCCTGGGGCGCGCCAGGGGTGGTGCCAGAGGCGGCGCCTCAGTGTTCCAGGGCCGCCACAAGGTTCGACCGCAGATATTTATGCAAATTGTCACTTCGACTCTCGTGAATCGGGGGCGCGCAAGCATGGATTAGCGATCCATGGATTTGGCGCGCGGTCGCCAAATCCATGGATCGGTGGATGTGCCCTCCCCAAAATGCGGCCGGTGCCGCCTCGTTCGGCGGCGGAAATTGCGACTCCCCATGAAAGCGGGGGGACCCGTCGCTAATCCACGCCCCCTTCATCCATGTTTGCGATCGCCTGAGTGAAGCCCCCCTTCCCGCCAAAGAGGCCCCCCACTCCGGCACAAGACGCCGGCCGTTCATCAGACGTGCAAATCTATGCCGCGTTGTTTCAGACGGTGCACTTTTTGGGAACCTGTTGCATCTTGTGGACGTTGGGTGCACTAAAGCGCCCACACGTTCGGCAAAAACGTAACATGCGCATGCTCTGAGCACGTGGCCCTATCCCTAGCCCTCGGGGGCTTGACAGTCAGCCGGCGGTAAGGCGGCGTTATCGTTGCTCGAAGCCCAACGGGCTACACGCCTGCGGACGGGAGCTTTTGCTCAGCGTGTCGCGGCTGCGGCACTGATGGTACGCTACGCCTGGCGAGCGGCTAGCGTGTCGCTCCGCTCCGCCGGGCGGGAGGCTTGGAAAAGCCGCGACGTGGACGCCAGGGATCTGGGACATGGATAGCGTGTTGCGCCGCAGCGTGGTGGGCCCAAACCGGCGGAACGACACGCGATCC